AGAGGGACTCTGGAAGTGGCCTACACGCTCAGCTGGGTGGACCCCTGGGAGCCGTTCTACATAGGGCCCAACACTGTGCCCCTCTACGACGAGAACTTCAAGCAATATGGCTTCAATCGCATCAGCCAGGTCAGTCCGACGTGAGGGGGGGGGGGCAAGAAGATTCAGTTAGTATGTTTTATTCAGGTCTGAGGACGTCGTCATGAAGCAGCTCTCTGAATCTCTTTCAGGGGAAATAATCTCTCCTTCACCTTTCTTCTCTCTCCTCCTCCTCTCTCTCCTCCTCTCTTCTCCCTCCAGGCCTGCGAGCTGCACGTGGCCGGATACAAGTTCTCGGTGCTGAGCTCGGCCTTCGTGGTGCACCGGGGCTTCAAGATCCAGGGGGAGTTCCACGCCAGGAAAGACGAGGAGAACAAACGCAACCGGGTTCTGTTCCGCAGCTTCAAAGAGGGTCTGAAAGCCAAATACCCGTCCTCCACAAGAAGGTGCTGAGAGGAGTGAGGACATCCTGCCAGAGTCCAGCCCCGATGATTTCTGCTGAGGTGGTGGACGGACATTGTTCTGACACTAACCAGCTTCACTCTGGAATCAGGCTCCCCTGCCCAAAACATCCTGGTTGTTCTATGATCTCTTGTGATGGTGGCTCAGTCGGAGTTGAAGCTAATCCAACTCTCGGGCTTATTTCAAGAAACGTCCCTGAGAGCAGGACAAAGAATCAAACGTTTAAAATGTACACGCACTCGATCAGTGTTCACAGAACATGAAGGATGTTTTTGAGCTTGTGCAGAAAACGACCGCAGAGTTTCTACACATTTAAAGAAAAGCTGATCAACGCTTCACTGAAACAATATCATTTCTTCAGTATTAACAGGAAAGACAGAAACATCACACTGCTGCTGTGGATCACGTTTTCCAGGGTTTGTCTTGCCTGCCGTGGTAAAACACTCGGGGACATGTAGAGGACACAAGAGTCCAGAGCTTTTCACGGTAACAGTGGACGCCAGTGTCTTTGTGCTGTAAACAACAAGCAGAATTGAGACGTCATGTCCTGCCTCCTGTTGCCGTCTCGTCTGAATGTCCCAGACACGATCCTGATGTTGTGACGGCGTCTGAACCGAACAATCCTCCTGCTGCTTCATATGTGAAAGACAAACTCTGGAAAAATGTCCAGAAAGAGTTCAAGACTGAAGAGAGCTGCAGGGCGTCTCTTTGACTTCTGTGCCAACCAGTGCTGTGCTCCTGCCACCAGATGGCAGCTCGGTGTTGAGAGCCTGGTGTATTTTAGCGTTAGCAGAACACGGGGATTACACAACATCATACGTGTTCTTACTCACACGTCACCAGGACAACAAAGCACTGGACAACTTTATATAGAGACGTAGTAGAAGACGAGCAGACGCTGTGAGAACTCCCGTGTTACAACACTGAGGATCTGATATGCAGCTGATTAGATGAAAGCTTGAGTTATTAGGACGAGTATATACGAGTGATGTGGACGTGGTCAGTACGTAGACAGATAAAAATACTGCATCATCAAAGTGAAAACTACAAAATCAGCCTGTGTTGTTAAAGCTGTGGACAAACCACTAGAATACAAATGACAGAGGTTTCATTTTGTTGTGTATCCCACTGGTACACACGGTGTCAACCCTCTTTCCTCCCGTTAGTGAAACACACACAGAGCAAATATGTTGAGTTACTTTTAACACTGGAATAGTTTTGTCTCCTTCACTTGTCATGTTTGATATATTTATTGCCGAAATGTTTTTAACTGGAATTGGTTGAGGTGTTTTGTTTTTGTTTTTTTTAAATGACCCCAAGCAGGAAAAACTGTAGCACGCAATTGTGTGATTGTGCAAAAAAAAAAAAAGACGACGGTACAGAACATTTAGAGTTTTTGTTTTAGAAGCACAATGAACTTGGTGTTTTTGAAGTGAAATCAATTTCAACAAATGACCTTTGTGATAAGTGGAGTGGTGCTTTATTCGTCACGTGTCTCTTCCTCACCTGAAAATGCAGTTTTTGTTTAGTATTTATATATTTTTGTTGCGTGATAAAATATGATGCCTGATTTGTTTTGTTGAAATTTATATTAAACCTTCTGGACGACTTGTATCTGACCCTCAACTGTCTTTCACTTCATTTTGACTCATTACACGAGATGCAGAACAACACCCTCGGTCATCACGAAGCTCAATGACCACTTGGAAATGCACAAATCCAATCAATTAACTTCGCCAGAGGGATTTGTACTGACAAGTAAACAGTGCTTCGATAAGTATCAGTTCAATAGGTGCAGCAGCCAAGGACGGGACCGGCCAGGACGAACTTGTCTCTCAGGTGCAGTGACGCCGATCCCTCTGGTTCTAACGTGGAAGAACTTCCAGATATCATCGGGAGTATCGTTCACTGAGCACTTGACACAGCTGACATTAACCTGTGGTGTAACGTGGCTTAAGATGGGGATTTAAAGGCATCCCTGCACCAGAGGCATGTGATGGGTGCTTACCCGGTGAGTCAGGCCAGCATCCAATTAAAAGCTCCTATTTAGTAATTAAGATCTGTATTAATGTGGACTTAAGGGGCCCAGTCCAACGCAAGTGTCTTTGTGTCAAGTGTCTTTGCTGGTTTTAGACTGACGTGGTTGTCGTTTGCTCTTCCAGTGTCCAGGCCGTTTAAATAGCAAATGTGCAGCAGCCAACCTGAGCGCCCTGGTCTTTAACGAGGTGTGGTTTCACCGTGGAGAGCGACAGAGACCTGGTCTGCAGTCAGACGTGTCTCTCGCTGTCTCCTTCACAGAAACAATCCACCAGCACCAGCCTCTTTAGATCCTTGGACTGAATTCATTTCTGCGGAGGCGACCAAACATCGACACCAGGTCCAGTACCTGAGTCAAATCTCTGTCTCAACAAAATCCAGTTTGAGAAAGTTGACAGAGAAAATTAAAACAGTCAAATCTGTTTGTGCAGCTTCAGCAGCCCGGGTGTCGCTCAGCGAGTCGACCATCTGTCGAAGCAGCAGAACACGTGTGACATTCGGCACTTGAACATCGTCCGAAGCAGAAGCACCGTGGCATGTTAAGCCTGCATTACCGGGCTCAATAATGAGGCAGGCACGCGAGCGCCAGTAGCACGCAACGCCACGCTTCAGCTTCAGCTCTGCTTTCATTGGGCCGCATCGCCATCCGCCTCGTCAAGTCATGTGTGGTTGGTAAAAACACTCACTTTGGTTTTCTGATCGATTTCTTACCAAGTCAGTTTTACTGTTTCTCACGATTCTCTCGTGGTGAAACGTTCGTCTAGTTTCTGTATCACAGTATTTTCCACCTCCTTCGAGCCACACGACGACTTCCTCTTCCAGGGTTGAGATTAACGCTCGGTGTAAAAGTTATTTCTCTGCAGCTCACGGCGTTTTCACCCGAGAAGAAGTTAAATATTCGACTGCTTTTTTCTACCTGCGGTCTCGTTTTCTTCTTCACTTCTCCCCCTGGGTGTTAATAATGCGGCAGAAGGAGCAGGGATGTTGGGCGGGGGGTGGGCTGCATGGATCAGGGGAGGCAGGTTTGGTGAGGTAAAGTGGGGTTTATCTCGACAGCTTTGGGGAGTCAAGGCTTATCTGGGTCAGAGAGCTTTACGACATAAGCAATTAGGGCTGTCCTCTCTTGTGTAGGCTAGCAGGAGGGAGGCCTCCCGCCATCTAGATTAGCCGCCCTGCTAAGGCCAGGCGAGCTCCGCGGCTTCGAGACGGTGGAGGGAACCAGCTGGAGGGCGAGGTGAGCAGGCGGTGGGGGGTTCCCCGGGAGGAGGAGGGAGCAAAGGGTGAGGGCCACGAGAGCACGGGGTCAAGATCCAGGCGTTCTAGACACTGGTGTACTTCTGGTGCACGGGTCAGTGGACGGGCGAGAGATGAGGGAGTCAGTGACCCGGACTGATGAAAGGAATTCAGCGAAGGAGGCGTGCGCACTAATGAACCGTTGTTTGTTCACTGACGCAGCTTCAGCAGCAGTTTGAAGAGAAAAGCACCAAAGAGGATGTTTAACATCACTGATTCTTCTAATGAGCCACTTGACTGGAAGGATTGAGTCCTCTAATAAATCATCTGTTCACCTTGTGTCTCAGAACACAGAGTAATAGATTACACTGGAGTAACTACAATATTAATAGTAACTAACTAAAATATTTGAGTCTCACCAATTCAATTAAATATGCTTGAATGGGCATAGAGGAC